TTTAACTGGTCATAATGGTTTATGTACCTTTATACCTTCTCAAATCAGTACATAGTAAGTACAAATTCGCTGTATTTCGATGCTTCAAAGCGTGTTCATCAATCATAATATAAGACCTGTTCTCTGTAGCTGGTACTATAGTTATAGAGTACAATCATTCTCTAAAAATAAAACTCTAAATTAAATACTAAAAATTAATTTGAAAAAGTATTGTGTTGTTATTTTGTTGAAGGTAAACACAATAAGCATCGGGGTGTTGTGAATGAGTTTATGAAATCAATTTGTTTGATTCTTTAATTTTTTTTCCGTTTAATAAAAATTGCTCAACTGTATAATATGCGTTATCGAGTTACGCGTATTATGTTTATAGACGACACACAATGCGATGTGGTTTTATAGAAATATTATAGAAATACGATACATAACACTTTATTATTATAACAGTGCGTACGTACAAAATACACTACAATATGTACATACTAAAATTACAATTTTAACGCACGTAAAGGTACGTTTTGATTCGGGTTTATTCATTATTCCGATTATTGTTATTATATAGTTATGTTATTACAGTATTAGTTTATCATTATTTTGTTCATAATTTTAAGTAATCATAGTGGCAGTTCGTTGTAGAACTATTTTTAATATTATGTACGCTTTGAAAGAATTAAAAATGAATAAAAATATTTGCTTATAATTTTGAAATGTTATAAGCAATACTCTATTTTACAATATGTTATTTAATATTACTATTTAAACTAAACGCGTTTGATTTTCGTAATTAATAGAAGCGGTTATAAAAAAAAAAAATTATCAATTATACAATAATGTATAATATAATAATATTATGTGGACAGTAGACTCTCCACTTATGCAATATTATGCTTAATAGATTATCGCGACATCTCTCCTCTGTATTACACACAGAAATTTAGTGTTTTCTTTTCATAATTAATCAACTATAATAATATTATATCTGCTTGTGAAATGTGTAATGTACAAATTATAATCTACAATAAATTGTACCTACTTAATTTCGATAACAGCCAACATATATAACATAATATATCTAACATAATATAAAAACTATTTTTAAATTGAATTTACTAGGTAGTGAATTTGTTGTTTTTAAATAATATATAGATATGTAAATTTTTTTAAAAAAGCCTTGGATGAGTAGTATTTGAGCCTATAAATGTAAATTAATTGACTTAAACAGTAAACATATTATAAAGTCCCTAAAACCGGCTTTTTGTTCGGTATGAAAAGATGAGAAAAAAGTGTTTATTTCATATAGTTGATGACCCAAATAAAATCAACAAGTTGTGTAAACTATAGATTACCCACAACCTACCTATTCAATATAATATTATGATATTTTTTTGACTACTCATTTAGGTAACGCTTATCTCATAAGTATACCTATTTATTTTCTACAAATATCGTTATGCATAACCAGTTTCTTTATTAATATACTTTGTATAATTGGTCACATATTATATTTTGCTTTTGTAAAATTTGATGGTTATGTTGTATGCTGTAATAATGACGTAAAAACAATAATCCACTAAGATTTTGTTCATACCTCATGAACCATGAGCAATAATGAATTGTTGTATGAATTTAGTTGTTGTTTATATCATAGGCGAAATAATTTTAGAGAATCCATATGAGCTATTTATGATATACCACCCTTTAAAGACTCCTACAGTTAAATTTAAATTAAAAAATGTGGGGGTAGTTGTAAACATTTTTTTTTACTATAGGTCCATTAATCTGCTGATTGAATAAGCCATTAGAAAACTATTATATATTATACAATATACAGTAATACATTTTTTTTGTACCTTATGCATCTTTTAAAAATATATTACACGTATAATGTTATATGGAAACAATAATAAGATTTAAACTTTGGTCTCTGAGTTTGTCAGAGTAAAACACACCACTTGATTTTTATTGAGAAAATCAAGCTAAAATAGAGTAAGCATTATTGCAAAAACAATTTTTTTTTCATTATTTATAAAGACGTTTAATGGCCTTGTTGTCATCTAATCATATTGATAAACATTACATTTGGGATATTTGTTAAAGACGTGACTTTTACAATAAATACAATTTTCCATAGTTATGATTACATAGTTATATTATTTAGTAATAGGTGCCTAACAAGGTTCACACCAAGCCGACAAAACAACAACTTTCTGCCTCATAATAAAATATACGAAATGTATAGAATAAAAATTGGAAACATTTCCGTGATATTATCTTGCATTTTTTTTCATGTTCATGTTTCTGGAGACATTTTCGTGTCCGCTCAAAAAATGTAAACATACCTATTAGAAGAATTCTCTTTGTTCCTGTTCCTGAACATTTTTCTATTTGGTGTGAACGGGTGTTAACTTCTTGTACTAAAATCGAAATTATTCTACATGTTTATGCAGAATATATTGTCTAGTAAATGTTTTCAAATATGTTTTTTTTGGTTTAAATGGAAAGTTTATGTTTTGTTTGTTGCGTGTTTCTTATTTGTAGTCAAACTTAAAAAAAAATTGTAAGTGGATGTCACTCTGCTGTACAGTAGGTTCCATGTGGGTCAATGTATAATGGATTGTATTTAACTTTAATTCAATGATATAATACAATTGTATAAGAAAAACCATTCTGAGCGGAGACGGTTTGTCAGTCTGGATATTTTTTTGACAGTGCACCAACTAGATTCACTTTCCCATCCAACACGATACTGAAGTTGAAAATCGAAGCATTAATTCAATCTCCGACTATACTTATCGTGTACACAGACACAAAAAAAAATTTTAAAAACACACAATGAATATCAACACATTCATATCGCTCCGCTCATAATCTAAAATAAAAATACCTATATAATTTGTTGGTTATAAATTACCGATAATATTTAAGGATAATTGATCGAAATGCCTGTTAATAATAATATTCCATATCGTTATTCATTAATTTCTGATAATTGAATTGTAGGCCAAACTGAATATTAGGTAAATGTCCCTAAAATTAAATTCTTTTAAAAAGGACCTACAAATTAAGAATTACAAGTATTAGTTATCCAAGTTCTTACTTATGGTTGTTGGTTTTCTTAGGTATAGGTGTAACGTCTTGGTTCGTTATCGTTTTGATATAAAATATAAATGCATTACAGTTACAAGTTTTGAGCACTTTTAAGTTTTAGTCAAATAAAATTTTACATAATGTGTAATATAATTAGAATAAACATTATACATTATAAATCGATGGAAAGTTAAAAAAAAAACTGACACAAAAATTTGAAATGGAAGGGTTTGTGTAATCATTTAGCACGATGTAGATTATCTATAACAAGTCTGCTACTGTGGTTGCGTATAATATAATATATTTTATACGTTCCATTGATAACACTATATTATACTATTATGTATGTATTATATTATTTTTGATAAAAAAAAATTAAATAATAAAACCAATTTTCGTTGTACGGTTAAATTATGTAATGGCGTTTGAACGTGAACATAAAAAAACATATAATGTAATATGAAGGTATTGTTATTATTACTACGTGTCTACAATTTGACAATAAACCTATAGATTTTACGATCAATATAATAATAATAATAGTAATAATAACATTATTGCTGACTTTCATTGGAAAATGTAATAAGTGTTTTTCGCCATCTCGTACCAAAAAATAAATACTTGGACACTCTACTAATACACAACTACACAAGTCACAAAGTAGGTAGTTCTTATTATGATCCGAAATATATAAATTCTTTTCGTTGTTATAAATTTTGTACTCCAACCCAAGTCGATATTAGACACCTAACATCTGACCACTTTGAACCATTCTGGACCATTCTGGACCATTCTAACCAAAATTGTAGTTAAAATTGAATTACGTTTTTTTCTGAAATGTATGCGTTGTCTTTAGTATGAACATGTTTTCATTTAATCATGAAACATCATAATATTATTAATTGTGACCTTGTATGTGCGATACGAATTATTTGATTGACATGTATAGTTTTTTTTTACATCTAATTCCATATTTAGTAATTAATAGTTAATAATTATATTGTCAGCGTTATAACGTAGAATCTCATAATTGTTTTTATAATTAAAAGTATAAGTTTATAATTTAATATAGGTAGGTAGGTACATGTACAATTTTGCAGAATAAATATTCCATAAAATGTATAGTAATATATATGTTAATTTAATATTAGGTACATTATATATACTAACTACCCACATTATAAAATCACAAGTGAGCTGTATACATTTAGTAAAAATTCAGAATCTCTGTAGATTAGGTATTTTATTATTGAAGAATTTTTTGGTTTTCTGTACATTGTTGGCATAAAAGAAACCAGTTTTGAAATTGTATATTCAACTCGTTAAAATGGACATTAAATTCGAATGTTATTCGAAAACGTTGACGACGTTTTTGTTTTGCAGTTAGGCTTGTTATTCAAAAATAAGAAAATAAATATCATTTTAACCTTGAATTTGAAAACGCAACTACCCAATATGGGGTGGGTCGTTGACATTTGCACTTAGAAGATAAATTCTTTCAGACTTGGTGATGCTATTTTAGTCTTATACGATATTAGTCCATTACGTAAACTCGACCATAATAAAACGAGTATCCGTTTTTTTTTTCCATTACACATTAATAATATTATTTTAAATTCGCTGGAAGACGAGTAAGTTGTAGTAAACGAGTTTTGAACGAAAAATACTGTGTTAAGCTATGCACAAGAACGTCTTATATTTTCGCTATACAACCAGTCTTGGAAAAAAACAACACTCGGTTTGTTTGTATTATTGCCATTTTTTTTATTTTTGCTTGGCGTTTTTGTTCATCATCCGAATGATTACAGTGTTTATTTATGTATTGTGTTTGGTACCTTGATATATCACTATAGCTCGACACGTTTGTTCACAGATATTATTTCGGAACGGTGCTGCAGTTCCAGATCCACAAGGCGATGTGCTTGGCATCCGGACAGTACAGGCCCAACGACCCGAACAAATTGTTACACAAATGCGACATTTACCGGAGCAAGGAGGCGGGCGCCATAGTAAAGTGAGTGATATATGGAAATGGAAAATTCGATTTTATAGCATGTCATTAGATTATACGAAGTATTATATTGGTCACATCAATCGCAGTACAGTACCTATGTATATGCAACCTACGTATATAGTTATAACGACATATTAATATATTGTGTGTTGTGTAACGGAGCAGTTGTTCGTGTATATAGGACGCGAGTATAGGTATAATATCGTGTTTTAAAATATTTTATTATATTATATTATTTGGTGTGGTCTATTCAAACGTCAATTTTCCAGTGAAACGTCCACATTATACGCAATTTATCCGCAGCCACAACCGTCGTCCAGCCGATTGTTATAATATTCCGTCTCTTCTTTTACGACACTGAATATAGCATGCCATGCTATGACGCCGCGTGATATACAATTTACATTTTAACCAGCAAATAATACAATATTATTGTCGTAGATCGTCGTATTGTTCGTGTTTACCGCCGCGGGACGACGACAATAATAATATTAATAATATGGGTACTATTTAAGACATATTTTCAACTCGTATAGTCGTTCAATGTCATTCGAGCACTCGGTATTTGCTGGTCGTCCACGCTCAGAGTTCCCGATCGTCCTTGGCTTTTAAATCTGGTTGATATGTAATATTATTATACCTACATTATATTGTTCACATTATAACATAACGTTTATTAAGAGGACGTCATGTGTTGTCTTACGACAACTGGACAACATGGCACATTCATCAGTTCCGATTTCGTGTTGTTAGCTTTAATCCATAGGAGTGAATTGATCTACCCATAGTACCTAATAGACTGAAGTTTAAGAACATTATTAATAATTGTGTTCTCTCGTCGGTTTTCTTATTTTTATTTTCAAGCTGAAGCATTTTTAACGTGAATATATTAAGTACTCGTGGCTTGCTTAAAAATTTGAATTAGGTACAAACACTACGTACAAACACAATATGAATATGTTACTTTTAAGTTTGATAATATTAGGTCTTTTCGCTTTGACATTAAAAGGTAACAACACAATATACCGAATATATATAGGAACTGCTGGATGTTAATTTTGCCAATTTTAGTATGTTATGCGTTTGTAAGGCGGGTACAACATGTCATGTAGGTGTGAAGTCCTCCTGATACGATCGCGAGAACCACCACGAAATTAATACGATTGCAGAATACTTGTGGTGCGGACATAAATGGCACCGGACAAAGGACGACAACTGCTTGAAATACTAATAATGATACGAATCATAACAAGCATTCAAATTGAATAGTATTATTTACTAATAAATTAAGACAAACGGACTATGGCATAAGATGAGAATAATTTAAAATCGGATTATAGTGAAACATGAATAGGTACACGACATAACATTATAATGTGTATTGGTATTTCGAAATAAGCATTATTAGCCAATATGTATAATTATGGCAAGAGCAGTGGAGGGGGAGGGGGACTAGTAAAATTCAAACTGGAACATCTCACCTCATTAAGTAGGCAATAGAAATATATAAAATACATTGTCTGTGATATTATACTCTCTGGAGTCTGCGTAATGAGTGTAATATGAGTATATGACTGTTACACAAAAAGTCAAAAACAAATGAAAGATCATTATAATTTTAAGTACCTAGATGGCACGTAGATAGTATAAGTATACGTTTCTTTTTTCACCACATTCGTTTTAAAATTAAATTAAACACTTTTAAATACCTACCTACTATAGTTTATTTTTGCAATAATTTAAATAGCATCGCATGTATTATTAAAATCGATTAAAAAAAAAACCATCAAGTCATGTCATCATTTTCATGATATGCAGGTTAGGTACCCACCCATACAAATTATTACTATACATTGAAGTCTGTTGTTTGGCGATGCTCCAAAGCGTACGTGTCATTAAGTACCTATTTAAGTGTCTATTTAAAACTACACGACTTAAACGGTTTTATTATTAAACACACAATAATATTATACAAAAGATACAAATGGGAAGTATCTAACAGTTTTAAGTGCAACTAAAAAGAAATTAAAAAATATATTTTACTTATTCTGTCAAAATTACATCAGCGCTGTGCCTCCCATAAAATCAGTAAAACAAATATATCTTATTTTGTCGAATTACCATTTCGTCAACGCGAATGGATTTCTTGAAATCAATTCGGTCGGTTCTTTAATAATTGTTTTCCGATTAATAATCATAAACATTAGCAGACTATATACACCTGATCACATACCGTCACACCGTCATGGATATGCGCTGTCGTGTGTGTATAGATAGTGTCATAATAGGTACCTACTGCGCATCCTTCTCTCGCACATCACTTTCGGAAACGTTTCTGTAATATCATATCATATTATATAGGTATAGAAGACGCGTACCAGTTGTAATTTGTCGGCCACAGCTGTGACAATAATAATATTGTCGTTATTACTATTATCTAACGACACGTCCGGACGTCCGGTCCGCGTGTTGAATTTTGTCTGCGGCAGCTGGCGCTCATGTTCAACGCTGCTCGATGTATACTTATTGCGGTGCGACAAGTCTTTTGTCGACGGGAAAACAAAAAAGTGAAACTCTCTTTGGACGTATTTCCTGTGCGGCACCGAAATGCGGACAATGTTACAACAACAATAATAATAATATAATAACTGCAAATAATAATCGTAGAGAAAAGGTCTAAACAGCTACTCGCGCGACGTACGTGTATATGTATATAGACAAGACGTATATAATAATATCGTATACGTTTTATCAACGGAAAATGTTTAACGGGTTATTACTTTTTGCGATGATGTAACGAGGTCGTTCCCGATCGTTTTTTCTCTCCGTATAATAATTACAATAATAATAATAATGTTCTCGACGGCGGCCGAAACGCTCGCACATAATGTGACACACATATTATTATTCCGTATATATTATATTATTTACGTCGTTATTGCACACAAGGCATACTTGGTGAACCGCGATATTATAAACGAAAATAAAAGCTGGCCAATGCGATTATATAATGTACATGTATAATATTTCTAACAAGTTCGATGTATGTAGGTATACGTGTGTAATTATATAGATGTATCATAATATATTACTCTCGTTTATGTGGTCGCCACTCGCACTTAAATCGATTTTTTCCACATTCTATAAAGCTCACAATATAATAATGCGGTGTTGTATGATTCAGCGATTTATCATACTTAATATTCGGCGGCGACCAAGATCGACCGCGTTTGACCATCGCTGTACATTATACATTATTTCATATAAGGACGTTTCCTTGAATGGTTTTTCTTAATTGTTTTATTTTTTTTTCTTCTAATAACAAAATAACAAATCACTGTTATAGATCGTAAATAATAAATCATCGTAACTGAAATCGGCAGTGGAAAGATAATGTATCTATACCATCTATTGACTTTGATCTTTCTATACCTGCAGGTGCGGGCCAAATGTTTCAACTATAGCGTCTATAGGTACTATTTATAGGTAGTAGGTACCAACGTGTTGAAACCGTGTTAGTTGTCAAGCAAATGCACTTATAATAAAACCATGATAGGAGCGGAGTGGTATTAAAAAAAATGAATTAAATAAACAAATTATTTTAAAGATATTTTATCAGACAAATTTGACTTGATGGCATTGCAATATAAAATATTGAAAAAGTGACAGAGGACGAAGGACATCTACAACGTAAAACATATTATTATAGTGGATTTCGATGACAAGGAGACAGATTGCAAGAAGGAAGAACTTTTTAAAAATGACATATTTTATATATTCTGAGCTGAAAAATTCGCAGTGCTTTTGAAAATAATCTGGAAAAATTAAATACTTACTAATTACATGAAACTTTAATTTACGAAATACCAGGTTTTAACAAAAATTATTTTTTGTTATTTTTTTGTAATTCAATAAAGAATAACCATCGAGACTCAAAATTCTTGCATTATTAAGGCTTCAAAAAGCTGTGATACTCTTATACAATTTATAAATAATCTTAAATAATTTTATAATCAAAATATGATCAATACCTACCTATTATATTATTATAGTAATTAATAAGATGGTATACCCGTGAATACCACTGAGATTTGTTTGTAAAAAATGAGTTCAATATACAACATTACTAATAGAAAAATAAGTAACTAATAGTATTTAATATAAAAGAATTATAAAAATCCTAAGAATTGGCTAAAGGCTAACTCACCGTCTCCCCTGAGAATTGTTTTTCGTATATAATGATTTATTATTGAATTAAAATTTAACACATTAATTAATAATTATTACAGTGAGTAGTGATCTATACACAATGACGGAGTTCACTCAAAACCAGCTACCTAATATACAACAGAGCGACTTCTCTGGTTTTTTTATAAAACTATTTGATATATTATATTATCTGTATTTGTTTAGTAATTTACAAAATATATTTATATTCGGATTTCGAGGTGAAAGAAATTAGAGTTATACGAAGAAACTAATCTAGCGATCGAATCGAGCAATTTATTTGTTAGAACCACAAGTGTTTTCTTCACCACAGTATTTTCTATACAATTTGAGTAATTAATTTTAATTTTATCTTATATAGGAAAATCATGGAATCCGGATCATCTGAAAATTGGAGGGATACTTTATCACTAGCGATCGGTGAGAACAAACTTGACGGTTCAGCTCTGAGAGAATTTTTCCAACCGCTCGAAGAATGGTTACGAAATGAAAACCTCAGGACAGGCCAGTTTATAGGATGGAATTACGGTATGTCATAATATAGTAATTATTCATAAATATTAATGTTGTCTTCAACAAATCCGTATGGAGACCTACGATCGTTTGTGAATTATAATCTAAAACACATTATATCATAAATGAATTAATGAGTAAATGATTATCATCCCATTGAGAGATATATCATATGCTCTGAAAATATTTGAAACATGGCCAAATGATTTTTTTTTCAACATTTAAATGATTATCATATCGGTTTAACTGGAGATGTTTTTGACCATATATTATTTAAGTACACTGGTAGGTACTTAATGACTTAGCTATAATGAGTATATGAAAAAAAAATCGAGATGAGCGACCAGTTAACCTTGCACAACTTGGAATATGGTAACAAAAAAAATTACACATTGGCAATAGTCTATATATAATATATGTATACACCATATACCTATGTACAAAATGTATAATATAATTTAATGTGTTTGTGATTTTTGCCCATAAATTGTATTTAATATTATTCCGCTTTACTTGAGAATTTGAAAAAATTATAATATTGTAAATTTGTAATTTTATTCAGATGGAGATTACTGTAAGCATAGTATTGAAACGGCTAATCTACAGGTCTATGGAGGATTTTACAATGGAGCTAATTCTCCAGTAACATCGACTTTAGTGTTAATATCTTTACTATCAATATTGTTAACATGCGTTAATGGATATTTAATTTAATGAATTTTATATAAAAAAAAATATGTTGTACAAAGTTATATTAATATTATGCATCCATGCTGACAATTATTAGCATCTATTACTCAAAAAAGTGGCACTATAGTTTCAGTCAATGAAAAATAATTTCTTCTTAATATTCCTTCATTACCTATATTTTTTCTTTTATAATTTAAAGTTATAAAAAGAAATAACAATATAACTTACCAAAATTGTATGGCTACATGATACTATAATATTAATCTATTATATATAATAAATATCTTAATAATCGATCTATGCTTCTAAAGTTATACATAATAATATCTAACTAAAAAAAAATATCTTATTATAACACAAATAAAAATTATTTTTATATTTTACTAATTTAGTTTTATGAATTTATAAAGTCATAACTTTATATTATTACTTCTTTAGCTTTATTTATGATTGTATTATTAAAACATGTTTTCTAGTTTTATAGATATTATTAGACTGTAAGACTGGAGCTAAAAATTATTGAGCTTTTTTTAGAAAAATATATACTACTTAAATATATAGTTATATAAATGTTGTAATTAATATAATATACATTACCATTTAAAAGCATGACAATTAACATTATAGGTGAATATTATAAATTAATATATTTGTATGTTAATAATTAATATATTAACATACTATAGTACCTATTCAAAAAGTTACAAATAATGTTATTATACAACGTTTGTAATAATGTTTAGATTGTTATTAGACAGTTAATTTTCCGCTATTATTATATGAAGGAAACGCAAAAAAAATGTCAAATAAAAATTTATAAAATTGTGATTTGTGAAGATATTTCATGTAAAATAACCAAAAAAATATATATTTTTTTTAATTGTAAGTTATTGATAAAATTGTTTCATTTATTATATAATATGTATTATAAATACAATTATATAAGTATTATATTATACTACCTAGTACCTATACTATACAATATACATATAAATTAATATGTATATTTTTTTACGTAATATGTAATAAGTAACTCATATATAATATGACAGTTTAAACAATTTGAGAAAAAATTGTCAGGTTATTATAATACTGGACACTGTGTTATACATTTATGCACATCGTTAATACATGTCCTACCTAGCCTGAGTATTATTTGTAAAAATAATATTAGAAACACTATGAATAGGTTACTCGAACGATAATATTAAAATATGTTTTCTAATAAGTACAACTAATAACTAGCCAAATAACTAATAACCATACCATAGAAACAATACACACCCACCTTTAATACAAATGTGTAGGTAGGTACACATTTAAAAAATATTTCAAATACTTTTAAATAGTTAGTTTTCTATAGGAGCTCTCCCCCTAAACTAGAATTTGTAGTAGGTAAGTTTTTCTGACATTCGCCATAGCATTTAGCATCGAAATATAATAATTGGGCATTTTAGTATTTAGTTAGACGTGTGAACTTATATAATACAAAGAGTCAAAGAGGAACACAATGTTTTAATTGTATTATGTATAATTACATAATATTATCGTCGTCGGGCAAAGGCTTCAAAATATGTCTATCATTTGATGTACATCACATTTTGTTTCTTTGCATAAACTCGCATAAAAATCGCTTATGCTTCTCAATTATATTTGAGGAGTTACAGCCGCAAAATCCGATATAGACCTGGTTGGCTCTCGATCGACCAGATAATATTGTCCGAAAATTAACGGATTATGGAAAACGAAATTCTATTCTAATATTATAATGCACCGCGTACGGTGTGTGGGGGGTGGGGGGTAGTGTTTTTTTCCATACTCTCGTGTAATGATTATACGTCGCATTTATATACGTTTGTACACACAGCGAATTATAACCGCGTTTGCCGTGAGGTCCTTTATCACGAGCCTCGTCCCTCTATCCGCCCGGGGATTTGGGGAGGTCCACTCGAAAATATTATGACCGATTCATTTCGTGCTCAACAGCGCGTGTGTGTCATGAATGAAACGATTTGCGGTTTCAATTGCACCCCTCGTGTCCGCAATTATTACGAATGCGTACCATAATATCTATATGGGTACACCTATATAGGTATACTATTATAATATAGCTCACTTAACTCCCGTATTCACTGCAGCGCGGCCTGGACAACAATGCACTCGGTTTCCCAGAGGGTCGTGTGTGTGTAATCTGTTGCGTGCTAATCGGAAGATTTATATTATGGAACGCGAATCAAAAGAAGGGAGTGTTTTTTTTTTTGAGCCCACCGCGTGTACCTATATACACATATAGACAATAATATAATATGACGGAGACGGGAGACCGACAGATCCGAGATAATGCGCCAGTGACATGTGAGATGATGTCATTAGGTATATTATACCTATGGCTCTGATCTCCATCGATCCATGTGCTGCAGTATACACGCGTTATTCGTCATCATCATTATTATTATTACTATCGTTGTCTCTTTTTACGTGAGGGTATCAATGTTTTTTTTATTTTTTGTGTTGTTTTCAACCACTACAGTATTTCGACGTAGCTCCAGCGGCATAACGACTTAACCTACGAACAACAGTGTGGACAAATAAAACTTGACGATTTAAGTTTATACAATCTAACCATATAATATATTAATAAATATCTAAAATTAAAAATTGATAAATTTTACATAATATATTATACATATCTTATTGAATTCGTCAATACTTATTAAGAAGTACCTATTATTATAACATAATAATTTAAATTTATAAATAATAAGAAACTATGAGTTCAATAATAATCGTGGAGTATGATTCATCTCACAAACCAGTTTTTTCATTGTCAAATTGTATTTATTTTAACCTAAAATAATAATTTGTTTCTAATAGGTAATGTATAAAATACTGTTAATTGCAGTCTGAGTTATAGATAATATTTTAATAAGCTTTAATCGTCGGATACTCATAGAGTTTCCATTCCAAACACTATACACAAAAACCGATTATTTAGAGAAAACATTTTTTTTTGGGGGGGGGGATACGGGCTTCTCTAGTATTGGTATTACTTATTTAAATGCAACTGTGAATACATTTAACATAAATTATTTTCTACTAATCATAATCATATGAAACTTTGAACCCGGATTTGGTTATGCAATGCGTCTTATCCGATTGCTCGTGAATTAAACAGTTTTCCTACTCACTTAAATAATTTATAGATTAAAAGTCGATTTTTTTTCACATTTCTATATTGGATTAGGATTATATTTTCGCATATTTTATTATTTTTAACAATGTTAATTAACACTTAATTTACACACATAGATTCGAAATACTCGCATGCGTGTGGATACATTATAATATAGGTACTAAACATAAATCAGACGATGTTATACATGCGGAAACTGCATGCGTGCGGATTAAATATTATTAGCAAGTACCATTAAATTAACATAATATATTATAATATTGTGCTCGTACGAAGGCATATGTGCAGAAAACACCATATAAAATAAATACGATTGGCGTAAGATTATAATGGTATGTATATTTCACACGAGCCTAAATAACTGAGCTGATCGTCGAAAGATATAGCAACAAACAAAACGGAGATAAAATTATTTTATTATAGTGTAAGTGATGTTTGGTTTGCGAACTAAATCGAACTGAACCTTAGGTGTTCAAAGTGGTTCAAAAAACGAAATGAAAATTGCACTTAATATTCAAACCAAACCAAATTACTATAAAATAGTTTGGTTTGAAAAAAAAAGGGAGTTTCTCATTTGAAAAACAGAAGTATTTATCGTTTCAAGAGTACAAGACACTGCTTATAGGCAGTACAAACAAATTCAAGTATTTGAAATAATTGTCTTTGAGTATAAAGAAAAATTCCAAAAATCATAATTTAAATGAATTAATTATTAAAGGAAAACCTGGGGGTGAGCATGCTTGGTGATTCATCCTGTACATAATTATAAACGTCAATGGCAGTCCCACCACCCTATGATATTTTCAAAAAATTATTTTTAGTACTAATAACAAACTTTAAAATTGTGGATTGCTTTGTCTCCAAAATCCCTCTTTCCATATTTGCGCCAACGTCTCCAATAATTTGTAACCATTTGGCAACCTTTGAAGTAAACCAAAATCTGTGTTAGCTACCCTTTAGTTACACCTATTACAGGAGCTGAGAAAAAACTAGAAACACCCTCCATGTCTTAAGGAATCTTTTGATACAAATTGTATTGTAACCGCTCCAATCGTTTTAAGTCAAGTAGGTAATTACAGATCGACAAAAATGCATATTCCGATATTCGCATTATATAGATTATAATTTATAATGTACCTATTATGTAACGCGTGAGATACGTAGGCGTTATAATAAATTATTAATTACGCCGATTGTCGCAAATCAACTAGTGGCCGTCACGATTTTCTATCGTTTGCGCTCATGTACATTGGTGGCTGGTGCAGTATAATAATAATATTTAGCTGCATTTCCGCTGCCGTTTTGTGGTCGCAAATTTTGGCCGGAGATCGGTGAATATTATTATTACGAGTCATTCGGAACGGTATGTATAGATGAAAAGCAAAACGACACCATAATAATTATGGACCTGCAGCGCATTACGTCACGACACGGATTTCGTACAAGTGAAAATCGGATACATAGGTATATATATAGCTGTCATCATTGTCATTACAATAATATTAGAACTAGGATTTGGATCACTTACACCTATATAGATACTGCTAATGCAGTCGTCTTCCTCGTCAATCGTCATAGACTGCTGCAGTATTGTAAATGGAGTATTTGTATATGGCCTGACGCCGAAAAACCTGCAGCAGAGAGACGACCTCGCGTAAAATACGCGAAATAAGACGATAATTTTTTGTTTCTCCCGTTCGTGATAATATCCATTCCACATCCGGTGCGACGCTTATATAGGATATCGTAAAAAAATTCACACCTTCCTCTGCAGTGTTCAGACATTTTTTAGCATTTTGTACTTAGCGGACAGGCACATTACACAGCTGTATAATACAATTAGGGCTGGTAATGTTTATAATGTCCTAGAAACTCGTAAAAAATAAAATACACTGAATAGAAATCAATTTAATTTACATTAGCATTTGTGTATTTATTGAAATTAAACTGTTGTATTATTATTTATTATTATACTTTGAGTTACACTGGAATCAGTTAATCATACCTAAGTTATCTATGAAAATTTATATTATATTTTTGCCTTATAAAATGCATTAATTCTGTGCTCTGTACAATTTTCAATTTAACGTTTGTCAACCGATCACCTAGAAGGACTTCTTTCAACATTCTATCAAACAACATTACTTTAAATATGAAAACATGGAATATCACAATTTATAATTTTTCAAAATTTTTATTCGAAAGTATTTTATGTCCGTTATTTAATTCTATGCATTTTTAAATTATTTTGGGAAAAGTTAAAATATTGTAAAATACTCTAGGTACAAATATAAAACGCCAAAAGACACACAAATAATTACTTTAATAACCTGCATTGATATTATAGGTATGCATTATGTGCACTGATTAACCTAAAATACATTTTTCTGCTTATAGATCAACATTTTTCAATTTTTGTATACCAGAATAGTCCTAGATCTAGATAATAATAATTGAGCCTAATCTAACCTGCCCATATTTTGTCTCCGTATGCTGTAACTATAACATTATAATGATATAGGTAAGAACCTATATTTGCCATGCGTCATGTCAACCTGCCTGCAAAACTATTTTAAGACTTAATAAACGCGATCTCATGCCGTGTGGAAAATTAACCGAAATAATTGAGAATTTGAGTTTTAAATTTACGACATATTTTACGTAGACGAAAATAATAATATAATTCCTATCGTTTATAGAAGATGAAAACTCATAACCGGAGAACCCATTATATAGTTTATGTAGCTCACTCTGCAGCAGTATAATATATATATATATCGTGTCGGACTCTTCGGTGTGCTGTGCGTGCAAGGTGGTATAAATATAATAGCCGTACATATTATACCAGATATTTATACCTCCTATACGACGATTTTTCAAGGGCGTCCGGTGGACCGACATTCGCAACTATAATAATAACACTAATATACAGACGACCGCGTATTTGTCTCTCTTTTTGCGGCGGACAAGCAGACTGGTCCGTCGACGATACCAGTTCGGATTGTCTGTCGTGCACGACCGCGATGGCCGGACAATGCGCGCGTTAAAGTCTCTTGGTTATAAACTACCTACCATTCTCACATTATACCTATACGTCGATGTCATATTATTATATTGTTGTACGCAGAAAAACGCAGCAGCAATAGTTCGACACGCCATAACGTTAGCAGTTTATATAGTGTGTCGTGCGTATTGTCTATAATATTAGTATCATATGCCCTATATAGCCTATTATATATCTTCGATACGATTTTCCGAAGTAACCCAATACGCAGTCCTTTGCTAATAAAATATTATACAAACGGGAGCGCTCGAACCATCAGTGTTATATTATTATCAAACGTATTATTTACGTATAAAACGCGGTCTGTGTAGATTTGCGTTCGACGCTATATACCTACCTGTACCTATACTTTTATAATTATTGTAAACTTGTTTATACTTACATTATTCGATCAACGCACACTTTCATGCCAGGTTTTTGTTCGGTCCCTTGTTTTGGATACCTTTCGTTCGACTGGCAAAACTATTAACACTGAATACAAACAATTAAACAAAATAACTATAATAATAAACAATATAAACTTGCAGTATATGACATTGTGTACAGTCCTTATTAAACTTCTGCATTGATATATGACAACGGATAAAAATATGTTACAATTCTGATGTGTATAATATTCTGCGCACTTTTGCTCGTATTAAAACTAAACTATATTTTTTTTTTTTTTTAAATACAAATAAAAATAAAACTACAAAAAAAAAAATTGTTTTTATTACCGATATACTTTTGGTTATTGATATTTAGTGTTTGAAGTATGAGAAATATTTCACAAAAACGTGAAACATTGAAATTTTTCTTAACACAAATAAAAACACAATTTATTTATTTTTTTAACACAATGTTCAGTGTTCTAAATTCTAATGTCAGAATTCAGTAAGTATACAATATACATGTATAATATTGTATACCTACTTGTATCATTTAAACATTAAAATATTTAAAAATGTTGAATACCAATTTAAATGTATAATACCAAAGGTTAGGTATACATACAGGTATCATATAGTGATGAAGGTAATTTATGACAATTATATGTAAATATAAAACTTATTTAAAAATAAAACAAAATATATTAAAATACTGAAACACGAAATCACGAAATATTTCATTTTTTTAAATTTCATGAAATTTTCAAACACTATTAATATTATTATCATGAAGAGTAGATACAAATCATATCGATAGACAATATAATATTTTAATCACTTTATTTTTTATTTAAAATAATATGTATCCGTAATTTATAACGAGTATATATATATACTAAGAAAGTAGTATGGTTGTCAATAATTTTATCTACATATTTTATAATATACCTACAATATGCGATCATAATATAATATATATTATAATATGTAATAAGAGATAACAATTTTAAACAGTACCCATCCCGTTTCTACATATTGAGACTTCGGCCGGGGGTGCTAATAAACAGCCCCTCACATCAACGACTATTATGTGCACCAATGAGTTGTCGGCTTGTCGCCACTTATCTTTATACGCTCGCACGTGTCAAAATTACACAATGATAATACCCATATTATGATGATGAGTGGGTGGTGTTAAAAACTATAGGCTAAATTTGATTTATTCGAGTGGTTTATTATATTATATATACACTGCATCGGTAGCTTAAAAATACAAAACAATATCGTACGACTAGATAGTATATGTAGATGAACATGAGTGATTGGTATTAATTAATAATTATCCATAGTCGGTATACACACTACACTATTACACCTCATCATACGTGACACAATCGAGGGTATATATTATTATATTATTTATAATAGTAATGATATAATGTAACTACATAGTTAGTTACGAGTAAATAACATCCTGCATAATATATTATTATAATACACTTATATAGGTATATGCGTACATTTAACGCTGCCAAAACGACAAGCATTTAAATCGACCGTTTGCAACCTCCCGTGTGTTTACGAAATAATATAATATTATATAGTTTCGAATACCTGGTAAGACCCTAAACATATGTAATATTTTCACTCTTCGTACCTATACATAATATTATTACAATATAATAAAATATAAAATAGTCATAAACGGAGCGAGGAGAGATCTCTCGTAAACAATAATAATAATAATAATAATATTAGACATTTGAGAAATTCGTTGCTTTTCGCGCGATCAAATAGATGGATGACAACGACGTCTCGGCATAATATATAATATATAATAATAATAATAATAATAATAATAATATACGTAATATACGTCTATCTTATTTCACGGATTCCGCCCTTTTCGTCTTGCGAGATTTTGGCGCCATCTTCATCGGACAGATACAATATAATATATTTATTATTTATATATATATATATATATATCATATATGTACAGCACGGTTTAGCAGCGATACGGTGACAATATTATTCCGAGGTAGGTTTATTGTATTATATCGTTATCGTCGACCACGCTTGACCCACCGTTAAATCTTCGGTAAAATGAATCCGTTTTGCTGGAACATCTGCCTGGAAAACAAAAACGTTAACTTTATAGCATAAATAGGTAGTAATAATATCCAATAGATATGGCACGACGGTGACAGCAATTTACATATTATAATATTAATTATTATACGAATGGCTTCAATGGCGGTATATTATCAAATTCCTACCGCCAACAACACCCTTTTATTATGATAGAATCCGGTACCTAGGCCTACTTATTTTAATTTTATTTTTTACTCATTCCAACTGAAATTATCGAAAAGTATAACTGATCGTTTTTGAATAGTTTTAACAGGTCCACTTGTATAGGTATAACTACGTCCGGAGGACGCCATGGACCTCCTGTGAGGACCATCGGCAGCGGAGTTACCAACCGAAGTACCACTCAGGGGTAGGATCCTGGCTGCAGCAGAGAAAAGGAAAGTCCAGTTCGCTCAGATGGTTGAGGTGATCATGGGCCGCAAGGAGGAGCTGGAGAGGGCGAGACAGCGGGAAGTTGCGGTGGAATAAAGGCGACCTGTCAAGTCATCTTAGTTGAGATTCTGTTTGTTGTAGGCTAAATGGCCAAACTTTTCAGGGTGGTTAGAGGCCCCCATTTTTATTTGTAACTAAATTTATATGATGTTATGTAATGTGATGTATATTGTATCAATAAACGATGCGGCCAGGGAGGCAGCAATGGGGAAACCTACTTCCCTCCCTGTCCGTGATTCAAAACCGGAAAAAAAAAAAAAAAAAAAGGTATAACTAGTAGAATAATAATATTAAAATTTTTTTTCGTTACTTGTTTTAACACTGTCGCACATAATCGCTCTCATATTCAGACTAATATACAAAAACTGTATAAAACAAAAACACGGTAAAAATATCAATATTTTATTATCATGTCACCGAAACTATTAAGCCGTAGAATGTTCAAAATGCGGATTAATAATAGACAATTTGTTATATGTACCTAATATAGTGGATACTAAATACAGGCAGTTATATAGGAGGATAGAACTTTGAGTCATGATGTCGCCCCCAATTTTTGTTAGTCATGTGCTATGGCTAGAAGTACCTATAATCTATACTTGTATATATAAATTATACAGTCAATCAAATGCAATAATACATTTTTATAAGTTATTAATTTATTGCCTTAAATTCACTCTACAGTCATATATACAGTATATACAGTCTTAGAAATACTCAAGGACAATCTGAAGCTTGTTCAAGGGTGGGGAAGGGGGGTGAGTAGGAATATTTATGAGTTATATATTAAGTTCAATGAATACTTGACCGTAATTAAACCTTTTAAAACGCGGGGGAGGGGTGGACGCAACGTTGGCCTCCCCATAAATCGGCCCTTGGGTAGACTCTTAAGCATTTAAGTTGAGGTATAGTAGTGAGACCTCAAAAAGCAGACTTCGTCAAGCCACTGAGTGCCATTTTAAATAGGAGTGTGTATGGTAAGGGGGAGGGTGCAAAATGGTATAAAATTATATTATTGATTATCATTCTAAAAATGTTTTATTAAGAATGTATTTTCGAATTCCATGTGTCATATTCATATACCTAATAAAATGTAATATTAAATATCTAACCTCATTTATATTGTTTTATCGTAATACGATGTACCTAGTTTAACTATCTATGTTGTTGAGCAATTAATTTTATAGAAACTTAAATTTGTACCAATTTACTTAGCCCCGAAAATATCTCGTACCTAAATAGATATTAACTATACCTAATAATATATGTTCATTTATTCGAATAAACGTCGTTAGATACCTATATACTTGATCGTTCGACAGGTGCTTAGATAAGGAAATAATACAATCATACGGGGACGTAAAATTTTCCGCCGAACTTCAAATTCGTTAACTAACTCGGAACTGAACTAATCGTATTATACTAACGCATATGGAGCGTACCATATTATATTATACGTAGGTATTGTTTGTGATGTGTATAATATTATAATATACGAATAAGCCACCGAGCGACCAACCGTCGGTCGCCCCCCCCCCATCAATACAACTTCATAATAAATAATAATTAACGTTTTAAACAGCTGTCGGAGACGTGCACAACGTCAACCGAGCCGTGTGATTTGATTAGGATTCACCACGGCGCGTATTGTGATCTATATACGCCATCGCTGTAAATATATACACAATGTACATGCGTATATATATTATATATTATAATATACATAATATAAGGTGGCGGGGTACTATAGGTAGGGTAGGTAGTACCTATTGGGCAGAGGGAAACGTAGGTACACGCGCCGCCGTTTCGATAGAGGACGAGCACCGACGCGAACAGCCGTGAAAATGTGAAATCCGTACGGGAAAAACGTGGAAATAACAATAAAAATAATGCGAATAAAATATTATTACGACATCTGACTAATTTTCGCACAGTGCTTTTGTGCCGGGCCCGAGGTAAAATACGCGTAAACGAATCGGCTTTGCGCCCGGCGCGTTTACATGACGATAATAATATATTGTATTATATTATATACACAACGGAGCGATCATTATGCTATTGAGACATTGAATTGTATATTATTATTGTTTGGTACGTGCATAGTATAATAATGCGCAGTCTCGCGGGTATAGTTTTTCTCTTCGGAATAAAAATATGATATGCGGCCCGTGATAAAAGGGCAAAACGCTGCTGACATTGCGTGTCTTCGCGTACTGAGTATACGTATAGGTAGGCACATCGCACCAGAATTTTTGCTCATGTATAAAATATGTACTTATATGATATAATAAAAATTGTATTGCAAAACGAGAGCTGAACGAGGTCCGCGTATCGTATTCGTACGTAATGACGATGGCTAACGATATAGGTAAAACAACCGTCGAAGCATTTTTTTGAAAAATTAAATCCCATTTGAGTTTGAAACAAACCGCAGATGGCATCGAATTAGAGGGTTTTGAAAAACGTCAAACTAGAATTAATATTACTGTAGAATCAAAAAACGTATAATGCCAGACGCAAAAAATTTAACTGTTTTTATGTATTTGGACACACTCGAGACAAACAATTTGCGGTAGGCCGCGATGTAAGTCCCGGACGGTTTTGGATGTTACAACATTAATACATACGAAGGACCTATACACTACTATAATATTATATACTTGTTATATAGGTACTTGTCATACCGTATTATCCATCAACAACTATATTCAAGCTGTCTTGAAAATATTACAATAAAACGGCACACTTATGGCTTTTGTTAACACAAAGATATCTAAACAAGAATCACACAATTTAATGGTTTATCGCATAGCAAAATGCCACACACTATTTTTGATCCCTATTTTAAACTATTTAGATGTATTATGAATGAAAAAAAGTCTTACAAAACTAACTCAAAAAATTGGAAGAAGCACTCCATTTTTCTTTAAATTATTATGCTCTTACAATCCAAAATTAAAAAATTTAAAAAATTACTTATATTTGCAAAGACGATTAAACTGTTATTGTTATATGTGCAAACATATTGAATTGTTATGTAATTAATAATTGTTGTAATGATCATACTTACAGCCGACGGTAGTTATTTGTTTAATATCTTTTTTTATTTAAATATAAATAATATATTTTTAAGTAATAATTATAAATTCATTATATAGAGTGCGGTTTTCAAATACAATACAAGTTTAAAAAAAGTATGCGGTTTTAACCAAATAAACGTATACAGTTTTAATCATTATAATATACTAAAACCGTGTGGTTTTTGGATTAAACGCTTTTTTTTTTTTACTTATACAAAGCATTGAATTTTTCCTTGTAGTGTGCTATTGTTTACGGTTGTAAACTTCATATTATATCAAGTACTACGCTATTAGAACCTACCAATACAACAATACTTCTTATTGCGATGGGCTAAATAAGGATATGTGTTATTGTCGTAACGAAATTTAACACATCATCTTATCAAATAATAAAGTTTATCTTGTGTGGAATTCTACATTATTCGCAAATATTTCGAGTGTTTATTCTACCGAAACACCGATACAGTAGGTATCTATTATTATTTATTATTATTGTCTACATACGATCATAATAATATATTGTACACGGACGGTAATCCGATCTTCGCATCATTTCAGTGAGTGCACATTTTAAATCTTTTTTAAATATAGACAGCTGATATGAAGAAATTATCCACCATAATGTTTAATCGCTTAGACAAAGTATAATAATGTTATACATACCGCGGCTATGGTGTGGAATGTTAACATGATTGTAATGGAAATTAGTCACGATATTCAACGTTACGACTATAATATAGTAAATCAAAACAGTCGTTACGATGTATTATCTAAAAAAATTATTGTATTTATATAGAATTATAGTTATAATGTTATGGTTAACTAAGTTACTTATTTATTTCAACTGGCACCATGCAAATCTTGAGGTTGTTTAATGTTTTCAATAATTTATTACTTTCTATTTATTGTCTCATTATTACGAATTTCTTTTGTATTCTATAATATGTAATCATCGTAATTTGTTAAATAATTAAATCCCAGGTCTGTATAATGTTATATTAGCTATTATATACCTAAAGTCGTAAACACTATAATGACACTAAAATTTGGTAAGCTCGTAAACATTAAAGAGCTTAAAATAAAACCAAACGACATGTATGAAATCATATAAATATTAAGATAAATAAAATTAACTTTGTTACGAGATGCAATATAAAAAAAATTCAACCAAATCGCCCTGGCTATGATAGAAAGAATATTTCTCAAATTAGGGAATTTATGTACGATTTATGTATGATACAATTTTTGTTTGTGAGTAACAAAAGCTTGGAAAATTAATGCAATGTTCCCCAAAAGCATTTTTCACAGTACCTAATTGGAAAAAAAACTATGGAAAATGTAATCACACATTTTTTTACTATCTTATGAATTTCAAATTTTGACAGTATATTCGTTAAAAAGTTCCCTGAAAAGAGTGGGACACGACGGAGCACACCAAACTACACTGTCCGCATTTCGATCAGTTGAGGGTAGACCTGCAGGCTCGGTTGGGACGTTCTCTAGCGGTTGCCGACATCCAGGGCATAATCTGTGGTCCCGTGTTTCAAGACCTGCCTCAGGATGACCCTTCCTCGAGGGCCACGAGACAAGGCAGTGGAAACCTACAGGCTTGCTATGTAAGATGGTGGAAGAGATACATGCCTTGAAGGAGAAGGAAGAGAGAATTAGTCACCGTACGTGACTCTAGGCTTGCTGGCCCAAGACTCGGGCCTCGAACGGGACGTTCGGAACGATAGCTCAAGGACCAAGAAGAGTGCCCCCACCCCTTAGCAAGAACTTTTACAAAAATAGAAACTAAATGTACACTATCAGGTCGGCTTCCAGAGAATCCTGAAAAAAATTGTATGATATTAATTAATTTAATTAATAAACGATGGCGGCGTTGCCGAAGTAATTCGCAAGAAATTAAGGTAACGTCGTCGATATCACATGAAAAAAAAAAAAAAACAAAAAAAAGGTCCATTTCCCAAGGCCCCGATTAGGATTTTCCTATTTTTTCTTCATTCCCCCGTTTCCTGTTCACTAATGACTGAATTTCGATGATACATTTTAAAACGTTTACCTTTAATACACTTTATTTCAAAATATATATTTTACCTGTTAAATAATTAAATTTCTTTTTCATTTGGCCAATTCGTCTATTACTACCTCGGAAGTAATAGGAATATTTCTGTGAACTGCCATGAGAACAAGATCGTTACGATTAGAAAAGTAAAAACAAATACGTCTATGATCTAACACAATCCAGTACCTATATCAAAGCTATATCTTTATAAAAAAAAAAGACCATTTGAGATCCACCCACACATCGTATTATATTGGGCATACACGAGCACACAGCAACAAAATATTATTTATTATAAATCTTATTTTCAATTTTAAATCGTTATATATTTCTACAGAATATTATAAAATAAGTACATTTAAAATGTAAATACAATCAACATTCAACACATCTGGTGTATAATCAATCAAGTGTGCCAAAATTATGAACATTTTAACGGTGCAGTTCACGGCGCAGGAAGATTACACAGATATAGTGTTTTGTAAGTGTTTGCCCGAAAATATTTGAGATGTTGTTAAAAAATTATAATTTGTATAAGCCCCTAATTCTGACATTTATTAATATAATATATATACATATATTGCCATATTTAAAATCAAGTGTATTTAAAAGACTGGATGGTGCAACTGAGAATATTATGCAAAATACAGACCTGGGAATCTGATTTAAAATTTAAATTATTCGTTTTAGAATTTCCAAAACCACATAAATTACAGTATACGAGGTTCTTTCTGTTAATTTTTTTATTAAATAATAAATTTAAGTTAATGTCTGTAAACAAAATAATAAATTTAATATTATATAGTCATAAAACATCAGTATCTACTATTATATAATATTTATAAAAAAATATGTCATATGTTCAAATGTATAATATGTATACTACATTAGGAAGTATGTTGGTGCTAGTCTCTACAACACCATGTATCGGCTGTATCTTACAATACTTGGAAATTTTTTCAATTTTATTTTTGAGTAAGATAAAAGCTTAAATGCAAAGTTTCATCCCACATCCTCCTCATAGATTGGAAATGAAATATTATGTTGGATTCGATTGAAGACGTTTGCTAATATTGTTTCGTGTAAGCTGCACAATAAATCGTTGTATCGAATATTGTCAAGCAAACAGTTAAAACTTAATTTTTAAAACGCGTCCAAGTCGTTAAGTCAATATTTAAAAAAAATACTTTCAGTTATAATAATATATGTACATCTGCACAATCGCCCTGAACCACGTGGTCATTTTTTAAGCGTCATAGACGATTTATTTATAGTGAACAATAATATTTCAACGCCAGTGGGCCGCGTTTGCGATTGATATATAAAACGACGTTTCTCACCTGATCTGTTGGTCGTAATGGGTCTTTTCCAGCCTCTTGTCCTTGGCCCTGCGATTTTGAAACCAAATCTTCACCTGCGTTTCGGATAAATCCAACGCGTTGGCCAGTTCCGATCTCCTGTTCCGGGACACGTACTCGTTGTTCCTGTACTCCATTTCCAGGCTGAGCGTCTGTTCCGGACTGAACGTGGTCCTCTGCCGCCGTGGTGCACGGCCTTCTTTCCGTCGCCTCCTCTCGACTGCAAACCAACAGAAGGTTACGTTAGGTTACGTTAACCCTAACCAGGGCAGGCGGACTGCCCGACTGCACATCGTTACAGCCGCGATTAGAAACTATGCAAAACCATAATATTTATAACATTGGCCTCGAGAGGGGTGTGCGTATATTATTTTGGCCGATCGGATTTAACCGTTTTCGTGGCTTACAAATTAATGTGCTATCAAACGTTCTAAGTTCTTCGGAATTGTTCCTCTAATTGTCATTAGTATATTAATTGTTTTTATTACGCACACATATCAATGTACACCAATGCCCATTGTACACCTAAAATAATTATTGTGCCATAATCGAATGTATAATAATTGGTTCAACGCGTTAACGTATTATTTTCTTTGCAAGTAGGCAGGTATAGTATATAGGCAGTTGATTAGGAAACCTACGAAATATTTTCGGCGGCTAAGTACGAGGGTTAATTGTTGTGTTATGACATTATTACACAGTAAACGGCGTATATTGACTTGTAATATAATAATGACTATGCCAGTAGTTATAATAGCCAAGGTAACTATACGACTTCCGAGTATCGTATTCCATGTATGTTATAAGATGTGATTTAAGAAACTTTAGATGGCATATGGTATACCTGTACACCTATGCCTAAAATAGGGGTCAATATTGGAAAGATTTCCTTTCTACGCCGAGTGTTATGTAGTGATAGGCTACGAAATCTTTAAATACGCCATAGATAAAAACAATAACGGAATACATAAGCTAACGAATCAAGTACCCACGTTTAAATTTAAAACCAAACAAAATACCTAAGTCTCTTTTTAATAATTATGACAAGTATAAAGCGTAGTCTAAAGTCGACTAGAAAAAAAAATTATTTATTTCATTATTTCACAATTTCTGAAAATATATAATATATTATTCTATCTTGTTCAAAAATATGATTATAATAAATAAAATTATAATAATATATAACTATTACAGGACACCAAAACAATATCGTAGAATAATATCGTAGAATAATAAAGACAAATTTCACAACAATATTATAACTTGTTTTGATATGTTGTGTATGGAATTATAATTTATATACAATTAATTTAAGTAATTGTGTAACAATCAAAATATATCTTGTTACTGATAATTTAGTTGTTTTTAACTTTTTTACACAGCTGGTATTTCAACAATTATTGTTATCCTCCACGAAATTTAAAATTAGTCATGTTAATAAAATATATTATATACCTAATCCATTAAATATACTAATGATGCAAGTATAAAATAAAACATTGAACGTACCTACCTTATACTGAAAGTTATTTCCATCGAATTAGCATTTATACAAAAATTAATTAATAGTTTGCATTATTATAAATGTTGTGGTTTATTTTCTTGAATCGAATAGGCAGTAGTATTTTAAGGATGTTCATGTTTTTTTATATGTGTTTTAGATGGTGCTAAATAATATTATATCACTCTAAAATAATAAAATTCGTATTAATTGTATTTACATTTATTTGCATTGACAAATTGAGAAATCAAGACTCGAAACAGTATTAGTACAATTAACCTTCTACAATTTAATATCAGATGCATTGATTTCAAATAAGGATTCGATATAATGTTATAGGTACCTACATATATTTTGTATGATTTAAATGTCTAGTCAGCGGGTATGTTGTATTTACCTACAACTAAAATACTATAATAGATAATACCTATGGCTATAATTAATTAAAATTAAAATATAAATTATTTATTTTTACATAAGCAATAGTATAATAATATAAAATATCTATGTAATTTTTTATATGTATTAATTTTAATGTCACAATTAATGCAATTTAATTTGATACCGATCTTTTTACAACCAAAGACATCATAATATATATTTATTATTATGAAGTAACTATATTTTTAGTTGTTTCAAATTATATATATATATATATAATATATTTTTGAATTTAAACTTTTTACATAATACGCGTACCTATGTTGATTATTGACTGATCCAGAAAAATCGTTCAATATATTTTTGTAACTGAAGGGTTTAGTGCGACAACCAGATATGTTACATTTTACTAATTGTTTAGAACAAACAAAACAAAATTCTTATCTGGTTGTTGCACGCTGAACGCTTCAATTGGCCAATTATACCTTCATATCAAAATAATACTTTATTACTATGAAAATTATTAGGTACTGCAATATGGCATGCAACATAATACAATATATTGTTATAAACTGATTATTAATCCTTATTAAATTAAAGGGGCATTCGATAATTTTTTTTCTGATAAAAATGTTTCTGTATTATACATATTATATATCACACACCTTTGTCAATTTATATAAATTGTATTAATCCTACTTCTATTTCTTTTTAAGTTTAATTAGATCACTTAATTCTAATTTAAATAATTTTTATATTACTAAAGGTAATTTTTTATCTACTTGGACTGTACATTGAACTATATTGTAAATCTGATATATTACTTATAATATTAAAATTAATAACACATAATATTATAAATTGGGCACGAGTTCGTATGAATTTATAGAAATAAATAAACTGTACGTCCTAATTTTTAGTACAGCCCAGCTGAAGATATTTTTTTGAAATATTAAGTTAAAGATGAATTTACTTCTGTAATATTATCATGTTTAATGCCGGATCAGATACAAGTGCAAAATAATATTATGTAGGATAATAATGATTAGACTATTAGGTAATGCATCTAAAGGGCGAAACGAGTTCCGCCTACGAAACAGTGAAACACCTACATCATATTTTAATGAACTCTTAGTAATAGTATTGTCAGTGAAGGATAAACCTGACTTAATGCACAGCAGTGCAGAAATGAAATAAACGTTCGATTCGGACGTGTAGAACGTGTCTTCGCACTAACGTGTTCGCCTATACATAGTGCATAATATATACCCAAGTAAAAAAAATTCTAAACCAAAAAAAAAAAAATACCTATAGGGGCGAACCACTTTGCGTTGGAAAAGTTCGATGGGTCAATAGGTATTGGACACAATGCATGTTTTATATTAATTATTACTTAAAATATTACGCAAATTCAAGCAATATCGTCATGTCGACCACAACGAAATATATCGGCTGGTGGTGTACCTATGAAAATACTGCAACACCTACCTGTGTTGTATAATTTTGATAATATGCAGTTAGCTTTCATAATAGTAAACTGTTGCAGTTAAATGCATTCGATGGGAGACTGTAGCAGTCGATTATAGGGGAAAAGGGAGAAGTAAACAGATTTTTATTCATGTTACACAACTTGTTATGATACAAACATGTCAGTTGAGTTACATATTATTATATTTTTTAATTCGTATGACAATAACATTTTTAATGTTATCATGTTACGTCATTGTATATGACACGGAATTATTGTGTCCAAACTTCGTATTTTATATCAAATAAACGAACGTGGAAGTATTAAATGTATACCAAACAGATACCTACTCATAATATTATATTGCGTTCGTACGAAAAATAAAATCTACAACCACCGCATCACCATGATTGTAAGAATACTCTTGTGCTGGGTACCATAAACAATTTATTAAATTTTATGGTTTACTAAAAATGTAATGGAACACTAAATCTTGTTTGAGGGACCATTAGTTCACTATTGATTCATTAAATGTTTTGTACGACCCGAGTGGCAGTAATGTATTCAATTCGGCTTTATTCGTTCATCTTATATTTGCCTATACGGCTGTACATATTTTTTTAATTTATTACCTACTCGTACATAGAAGACACCGATTGATATTATCTCAGTAGGTATACATCATATTATTAATGTAGTTACTTGATTTTTTTTTTTAAATTACCATAAATATGTATATACATTTTTTAAAAAAAATGCATAATGAAACATTGTCAAACACGTCGATTATGTAGTTGATGTCACGGTGTTCGAGTAAGTGAGTTTTTTTAATATTAAAATAAAAATGATATTAGTTCTAGTGAAGTATTTAAAATTTAAATATTATAGAAAACTTGATTACATTTGACATTGTTATTACTATTTACCTATTATGTAGATAATAGTATAATATAATATATTACACTAAAAAAACGTTTAATGTATAATTCTTAAAAGGGTTACGTAACACACTAACACGTAACATATTTTTAATGGTAATTATAGCAATAATTAGTGAGTAGGATTAGGACAAAAAATAATTTTCTCAATAACACTATTCGTAGCTCTATAATATTAAAGTGATAAAAATGAAAATATATTAAAACTGCAGGTTAACGATGTAGAATTAAATATTTTTTGGTGAAACTAAAAAAAAAATCCTTAAATTGTCGTTTACATAAGGACCTTCGAAACGTAATTTATGACATTTAAAAGTAACATAATATTATGAATTATAATATCCATGTCTTATGCGATTTCGGACTTAACGTATATAATATCAATAAAAACTATTAATAATTCCACTAAATCTTCTCCATACATTTATTTCCAACTTGACTTGTTTGACTTGCGAATTTTTCTTTTAAACAAACAAAAAGATTTTTCAAATATGAAATAATAGTTTTATTTTTTATGTGTAAGTGTGTAACAGGTACATTAGTAATTATATTTATGATTTATCAATAATAAATGTTATTAATAATCATACTTATTATCAATCATTTTTATTTACTAACGGTTATTGATGAGTGAAGAAGTAAATTATTTAAGAAAAAACTGTCACAACTACATACAAATAACAAATGTCATATTTTAGATTCTGATCTGATCAATATAAATGCATTGATTTAGCAATGCGAGTATGTGTATGTTTGTTTTGTCTTAAGACATCTTTCGATTTTTAACTTCAATATTATTTCTGATATAGGAATCTAGTTGGTACTTATGTCTTATGAGTTATGGGGAGGGATCAAAAATAAAAAAATGTTCAGTACTTTTCTAATTAATTAGGAGAAAACTGAAATCTTAACGCAAAACCCGTTTTTGCCTAAATCGATTTCCTTATTTTGTTGTAATTCAAAAACGAATAACCGTTAATACTTAACATTCTTGCCCAGTTCTTTTATATTGTAGCATTTTGAGTGGCCATTTTCGATACATACAATTATTTTTATATACTCTTTTTGAGGCGTATGCAATTTGTGTATAGGTAATGCAAAATAGTTTTCTATTTACAATTTCCGTTGATTGGAAAATATCGAATATTAAAAAAAAAAAATGTTCATTACATTCCAGCAGTGCAAAACTACTCGTAATCACCCATTTTACCGTCGACGGATACATAAAAAATTAACATGCATACTATTCATTACCTAAGTATCTCCTATTATAAATGATATTAAAATTTTTGGTGATCGGATTGTCAGTGCGATTACTACTCGTCTATAGTATATCTTTGGTAATTCACAAGCCCCAAGAAGTAGTGTTCCGGATAAGACACTAGCTCACAGTCACGGTATATTATATAGGTAGGCCGTGGATACATACTAGAAATAATAAATTTGCTAGTACCTATAACAAGTGTCAAACCTAACCTGATATAATAAGTATACGTGCATCATGAATAACACTTTCTTAGCCCTTCCGCAGGTCACAACCATATACGGGGTGATTATTTTATCGTAAATCTGTAGAAATATATCTTAGGAAAAACAAGCACAGGACAATATAACAGTTTTAATGATTTTATTTTTTTTTATTAAACGTTCCATCATCAACGGAACGAACTAGTTTATATTTTTTACTTTTATCACAATTAGGCACAAAACTTAAATGTTGTGCTTATCATTTTAGAAACTCGTCGTGTTATACTGCGATGCCACTCACGATAGAATAATCACCACCATGTCTGCGCAGTTCCGTGGCCGGGGAAAGTGCCCCACTCGATTTTTTTTATGAACAATGGCGTGTTAAAGTAACAGGAGATAAGTATTGTAGCTTGACAAAAACTAGAGAAAAATAATTCAAAGCCCTGTCCCCCCAAAAAAAAAAATTTATATATTATCCTTTTTCCGGCTACTCTACTGTATCTGTGTTAGGTTAGGTCACTCTGCGGGAAGACTTCACAGTCACACCTCGCACCAAATTCGTCTGTTTATCAACGCATTTACAACATTGTCGTTGACATTGTACGGCCGTCTCATATAGTGCCGTCGTCGTCTGTCGCAGTGGAACCGAACCCTGTGTTTAGGTCAGCCACTCAGACCTTACATTTTTCGAGAAAAATGTAAACGGGGGCCGAATGGCAATGTTTTTAAACTCGTGCCAGAATATAATGTTATGTATGGTTACTCGATGCGAACTATAGGGATAAATTAATAATACTCATCTAAATACTTTAGACTTTAGGAAAATATGTTTTTTATATGTATATAATTACTATATAAATATGGTATTTTGTAAATAAAGCTGCATAGGTACACTTTCGTACCTTACTCAAATCAAATTATGTGTAAATTACATGGTGTAATCAATATGCATTGCCATTGCGCGTTACCGATATTTCCTTTGGAAAGTGGAAAGCAAACAAATCAACCTTTCACAAATCGTTTTTCCACATTCGACGTGCAATAAAGTATGTATAGGCTTGTGGCTGCACTAGAGGGTGAATTTTCAATCGGTTGATTTATTGAAATTCGGCGCCACCGGTCAAGCGGATGATATCATACTCACGAAAAGCGGTCAAGCCGGCGGCGAACGTGTGTTCGACGTACGCGGCGGTCGGCCGGACGACGACGACGGTGTGCTGCTGCAGCGACGTATCCGAGGCGGCGGCCGCGAGCTGCGCCGGGACGGACGGCCGCCTTAATCCGTACCACTGATGTAGTGGGACATCGCTGGCGCGGCCGTGGTGTGGACGACGGACGTCTTCGGCGGCGGCGGCGACATCAGCGTCCGTCTCGTACAACATGGCGAAAAACTTTCTGGGCGACAGCGGCCGGCGGACGGCCACTCCGGATTCGGTCATGTCGTCGAGGCGGCGGCGGTGATACCTGCCTTATTATGTCTGCAGTGTGCGCGCGTACGTGAGGGCTCGTAGGGACTGGACACCGCTGTCGCCACGCACCGTAGACGACGCCGACGCACCGTCTCGGAGGGCGTGTCCCACGCGTTTATTGTAATTGTCATTATTAGTGTTTTTAAGGGTTGAAACCGTGTAATCCGATCCTCTGAAGCACCGGAGAAAGGGGTGTTCGTCTTGTCCGCGCACGCGCTCTCTCGCTCCCTCCCCGCCATCGAAATCCCATGCACGCCCCCGTGTTCTTAACCACGCGACCGTTTTAGTCACGTCCCCTCCCCTTTAGCACGCTCTGTGCAGTGTACACATCCGACCCTGCAGGTGCAGCAAACGGCCTCTACTTTAAGTATTATATTATATTATTTGGTTTCATCACGTATATTATAGGTTTATAATCATACATCGTATAAACACCGCTTTTTATTCAATTGAGTTAATGTAAGTAGGTATCATGGTTAAAATTATACTGCTGCACCAGTACTAAAAGATAATAATCTCTCTAATCGTTACATTAATTATTATTACCTATTTACAATTATTTGAGATAGGTACGCTTTACTAACCGAGATACTGCTATCTCATTGTTGACGTAATAGTAATAATAAAAAATTTTACATTTCCAGATGATCGATACGAAGGGCACGATAATTGTATACAAAGATGACATAATACATATATAATATTATGGTATAGTATATAGCTTATATATTATTTTTTTTTCTTTTTTTAAAGCCCGGCGACTATGACCATTAGTTTGATTGTAGGTTTATGATTGTAGGTAGTAGGGTTTGAAATTGTAGGGTTATTACACGTGTGTGTTGTGTTTGGCAGAATTTCTATTGGGGCACCCGTAGGTTTCTGCCATGCCCCGGAGTGGGGGATGGCGGCACTTGTTCTCCGGACACCGTGACTTGCCCGAAGAAAAATGCCGCCCAGTGGTCGAGAGAATCGAACCCGCGACCGCCAGCGCCGCAGACGACGTGTTCGACCACTCGGCCACCTCGTCCCCCCTTATATATTATATATAGTAGTATAATGTTGGTTAATCGTTTATGCGTATGATAATAATATTTATAAATTATTATATTATGTTTTTCGGTCATTCGCCAGTAGACTTGCATTTAGGGAATGACACTAGTACACTACTAAAAACATACACGATTGTTATATTTATAATATAATATTACTATTTTATTATACACACAAAATATACAGTAAATGATGAATATACTTATATATATATATATTATATACACATTACACATTATACTTACACACAATATACCGAACGACAACGTCGTATTATATTAGTTAATACCACTTTTGTATATGTGACTAATTCGTATTAACTGCTATTGTCCGTAGCTAGAACAGTTGTGTTTTGAGCTCGAGAGTTCTTGATAGCCACGTATACGGAAAACAACAGGTGCAGAGACTCAACTTTGGTGTCAGTCTTTGGGATCCCGAAGTAATCTGAAACAGATATCAATCACGTGGTTTAGTGGACTTGTGCAGTTATTTGAGGCTCTACTAAATGATAACACCTCTATATGAAAAGATGAAATATAAGCAAATCAAAAAGTCATAAACTCATAATATGCTTATTAGGTATACAGAGATCAGATTCTATAATATTATTTGGTGTTATTAGGTTATTATATATATACCTACTAGTATAATCCCTTTACAAATGACCTCGACAAACTATCGGCAAGGATAGAAATCTGGGTATTACACGTGACGTGTTTAAAAACGATAAGTCTTAATTTTTATTACAATAATAAACTCCGGGGAAGGAGTGGCCGAGTGGAATACTGCGTCGATTCCGACGAGTACCGTCGCCGGTTCGAATCTCGAACACGGGAGGCTCCTCTCTCTGGGAAGGCAACTGTCTAGAGAGGGAGACCGCCATCCCCCGACCGGACATGGCAGAAAACTACGGGTACCCAATTTTAAATTCTGCCAAAACCAAACATTCGTGTTTACCAAAAACCTACAGTACCCTGCCCACAGTTGAAAAAACCACCCATTTGCCTAAGTGTACAGTGTCTTGTGCTGATACATATACTTCTGTTTTTAAAATAAGAACCCCTCCACATTTTTTATGTAGACTATAACTAGTGGATAATTTTTCTGAAAATGTGGATCTTTGATGTAAGTACCTAGTTCAAAATTTAAACGTGTAGTTTCTCAGTTATTAAAATATATATATAAAAAGAATAATATAGTCCTTAAAAATGATTTTATGAAAATAAAGGTAAAAATGTAAAATAGATGTAATTTTGGATCTAGTATTTATTATACTTGGACCATTTTTACAAATTATAATGGTTGATAGATTAATATTAATTAGTACAATCTTCAAATCACCATAACTCCCATATTTTTCAAACACATTATCATGAGTCATGGACCTATTATATCCTTGAAACTTAAAGTCAAATAACTCAAAAACGATGATCCTATTGAATTTTGAATTTGATACGTCATCATTTCCAGAAAAATTATCCTCTAAATAATGTACAGTAGAAAAGGGTGGTTCTCATTTCAAAAAAAAAAAGAAGTTTGTATATCCACTGGACACTCTTTAATAAATGCGAAAAATCTCAAATGTTTGAAAATGTAGCGTCCTCAAGTAGGTATATTTAAAAATTCCAAAAATAAGATTTTGAATAACTGCAATATGAAAGATAAAAGTGGTGAGCGTGTTTGGTGAATCACTCTGTATATATACTGTGTAGGTAGGTACCACGTTAAGTATATCGTGAACAGTTAATATTTTGAATTAAAAAATATATAGATATTTATATGTATAATATTTATTAATGTAATATGAATCTTACATATTATTATTTATTGATCGACTACACGTTTTAATCGAAATTTATTTTAGACATTTTTATTTTATTCATTTAGTCTTGCAGATATTGTTTATGCGTGCCAATACAATATTTATATATAAAGGTGATATATAGGTACCTACTTAACCATTATAGTATTAAACATTTAAACTGCAATATGCAAATCTATGTCGTATAGAATCTTAATATAGAGGTATGTTCAATCCTCGTGACATAAATATACTTATAACATTATATGGTACCTAAATGCGTTCGTTTTATATAAGAATAGTATTATACCATAGTCCATGGATATATCACAATATAGTATGATATATTTCGATAAATGACCGCCTCATCGATGTAATATTATATCATTTAGGACTTAGGTATATCATCACATTTCAATATACTTATTATTTTTATAGTTGTCTTAAAAATAATATCGATACACTCACCACAGACTTCATCAACAAGAGTCAACAAATCTGCATTTTCGAAATCCGGCATGTCTCTGGTTTTCTGATCGCCACCGTCCATCCACGGTTCCATTATTGTTTCTACGTCTGGCATTTTTCTGTTGAAGCGCAAAATATTAATAAATTACTGTGCACTGTGCAGTAGGTGTATTATAATATAATGTAATACATAAAATACAAATTCCGTCAATTCTTTTATGTGTAGAGTATATATTATTTTATATCAGTACTTACTTGGAATAGAAAAATGCAGACGTCTTTCCTCGGTTCAATTCATTTATGTCGTGTATCCACTGTTCGATGACTTTTGGATTTTTTTCGGCGCTCTCCAATTTTTTCACCACCTTTAACAAATCCCCGAGTTTTGTTCTATATTATTATTATTATAGAATATCAATAATTTAATTATCGCACATCCCACGCGATAGCGCCATTATAATCACTATAATTTTATATTCGTTTAATATACCATTTAAGGAGCGATGATCCATTCAACTACATTATATGACTACACTGATTTTTTAAGTCGATTAGGTATTGTGTTGTTGAAAAAAATGTTTTTCTTACAGTTTAGTAGCAACATGAAAATATAACACTACATTTTAAATAAACAAGAAAATGTAATTTTTCATTAATGGTTTTTGGGGTTTATTATGTTTTTAAAGACAACCTACATTTTTAATTTCATAAACAGAATATAATATTTTATCTCAACATTTTGATATACTTACAAATATCAAATATCGAATGAAATATATAGTCTAATTAATATGAATTTATTTATTTTACACAAGTGTAGTAAAAACTAAAACGACAAGGGCCAAGGGGTATATACCTCATATAAGCTGTAGGTGCAGGTCTACTAATCGGCTCCCAGGTAAAAGATAAAAAAACAATTTTTATACTTGAAAATGTATTGTTATACATACTTCAAACTACATGTTATATACAAACCATTTTTTTTTTGAAAATTCATTTTTGTCAGTTTAACTTTAACATAACCTAACATCAACACTTAATTATTGTACCCGTATAGTCATATATTTCATAATATTGTGGTACCTATATAGTTAATAGTTAATAGTTTTTGCTCACCAGCGACTTGGACGACGACGAACACGACGCCCGAAGCTGTAAGTTGAGCAGACACGGGTCGCTTTGGTTTAGACATGGCTCGTCCAAGTACTCCAGACCTAAGCCAGCCTGTATGGAAGGATCGGGTGCAATCACTTTGATGAACGCATCGGCGTCACCGACGGCAGGCAAGTAATCCGGTATGAACGGCTGCAACCTGAACTCGAGTTTCGCCTTCTGGGGGTAGTACCTGCAAACGTCTACGTGCATATTATATACTACCCGATGTGTATTATACATCCAAAACGGTGATGATGCCTTACCGAGTCTGTCCTCGACTTTAATGATATATTATTTGAATACGTCCTAGAGTACATTTTTGTAGTCTGAATTTTAAAATGTTTACATAAATTAGCTCTGTGAATTGGGAGTCTTAGCTGATTTGATACGTCGTGTTTAAGAATCCCAAAAGTTTTAAACATAAAATTGTATAATAATTATAGTTCCTTAATGGCTTAATATAAAGTAATCATTTTCTAAAATCTGGCTTCGACAAAATATGAATAAAAAAAAAAAGTAATTCGCGAGGACAAACATGTAAAGACACTTACAATATTGGAATTAAACATAAATGTACAATATTATAATGCGTATTGGGGATTCGATACCAATAGTTTTTAAGAAGTTCAATTATATAGGCGAGTTCCCAAATGTGTGCTTTTAGTAAGTGATCAGTAATCACTATTGTGTATGACACTGTGACTGGAGTGAAAAAGAGATACTCACACAAGCAAACCCACATAATCACATATCATCATTCTGTAATATTAACGAGCACCTAACATTGTTCACTAAAAATTAAGTAAAGTAATGCGATAAAAAAATTCGATCACCCCACCTTTTTTATTTGTTATTCATTGGCATAATAATAATTTTTATTCATTATATTTTAAAATCAAATTTAAAGGTCAGATATAGGTGTCAACATTTGAAAAAGTGGGTTGATTGATCTCAAATAAACTTATAAAGAATTAAAGTTTTCATCGATACGATGGACACGGGTCCATTAAAAAAAAGGTGGTACTTATCGAATTCTCTTAAATACATTACATATACGCCTTATAGCCACATGGATACTATTTCTTACATAATTTTAAGATGTTATACTTACATTGATATGTATTTGAACACGTCTTTAATATCTTGGGATAAGTGAAGAAGATCGACGTCTTTATTGTAATCCCTACCAAATATACAGTATAAATTAATTTCATAAATTAAAAATATTTTGTATTTACCATATTATATACGAATTATACATTTTATAAGGTTTTATTCTACAAGACAAAGGCCACACAATAATTTGGAACACTTGCTATATTGATTCCGAACGCCTTCAAATGTTTAAAGCATATTTCTATTAGCAAGGATCTCCTGCAATTTTTTATTTAAATTTTAAGATCGTTGAAAAACGACGATGTGTTCGATATTCTCTTGTATTGTAGTAAATTATAATATGAGTTTTGTGAACATTTTTTAATTTGATTTAAATAGTTTGTATAATAGACAATAATGAATAATGAATTCTTAAAAAAAATCACAATAGTAAGATGTTTCAATAAAATTAGTTATAATTTCTTTTTAAGAATGTCTCTGGTTAGTTTTAAGTTGAGTAGTTCTTCAATATGCCCACATACTATTATATTTTTTATGTGTTATTATTTATGTATTATAAATACTGTCACATAATTTACTTGAAAATATGTATTTTCTTAGGAATTTTTCCCTTCAAATTAATTATGTAATATGATGATTAAATCTATAAGAAAACCGACATGATAATTGGAATTTTTATGTACCTAGTTAATACTAGAGTTATTAACAGGTATTACAAAAACGAATACAAAAAATGAATATTTTTTTGATAAATATTCGTTAATGACAGATGTACTATTATATTATAATCATATATTAATTATTGTAAGTACTCAAATTTATTTACATAATATAGGTAACTAACGTGAGGATTAAAGCAGTAATTATGATTTGTTGGCATACGTTATAGGTACATAAATATAATTGTTGTGAAATTATCAAATTATTCACCACACTAGAAAATGTAATGCATTATTCATTAAATGCGTTCCGTGCAGCTGTCGATGTGATTATGAACGAGACATGGTAATTGGGTCTTAGGACCTGAGACGTTTACGAATAAATGAAAAAAAAAATTACTTAAATACGACTGTTAAGTAAAATGTTTAGTGAGTGTGTCCATGAACACCATACAATGTATATTTATATAATATAATAATATGTATATCTCGTGTCCCGCTATCGTCCAAGCAGCACGTGTGTTACCTTTGTATCCGTTATCGCTTTATAGCTGTCGTTAGCACGTTATATAACACATCAAGGTCGACACTTATCGCAGGTAATATGTAATTTTATATACACATATACCTATATCTTACTAAATTAATGAACAAAACAATTAAAACACCGTCGTCGTGCGGTGAATCAACTTCCAATTCAACCCAACATAAAATGTCTATACAAAACAAAATATCTAAACCTAAATCAAACATGCCACCTTCACCAAACCAATCTACCGAAAATCTTATCTCTGACACCTCAAAAAATATGGATAACAATCTACCACAACAAAACATTGCAACCCAAAAAAAAACTTTCGCAGAATCGTTAAATCCTAATCCTTTTCCAAAAAAAGATCAGGCCATTATATTTGATATAGAAAACGAAGAAATACAATTAAAAGATTACATTATCGAAATAGGAAAAATAACCAAACCAGAAAATATTATTTTCGTGTCCAAAATATCTAAAAAACGAATGTGTATCTTTTTATCGACAAAAGACCTAGCGAACAAACTAATTCAAGACAACGAAAATTTAGTTGTGCAAGGCCAAAATATTAAATTAAGAAAACTATACAATCCGGATAAAAGAATCATCCTTGCAAATGTATACCCCAATATACCACACGCAATAATAATAGAAGCACTTAAAGAACACAACATAACACCCACCAGTCCTATATCATTTCTACGTGCAGGTATTCACATCGAAGGTCTTACACACATACTAAGTTTTAGACGCCAAATGTATATATCTCCCGAAGACGAAAACAAAATACCTAGCTCTATACTGATCAACTTTGAAAACGCAAACTATAGGGTATTTCTGTCTAATGACGAATTAACCTGTTTTTTATGCAAAAAAATCGGACATACTTCAAACAATTGTCCCAAAGCAAATGAACTCAAACCCACTGATACAAACATTATTAGCCCACTGCCAAATTCCCAAACACAGATAGAGTTAGATGAAACTGAACCTAAAACACCCATACATCTAGAGTCGGAAATTGATTTTTATGAACCAATGGACCAGTCTCAAACCGATGATAAAGTTCAACAAATTGAGACAAAACCACTTCCAAATACTAAAAGATCAGCCTCAACACAATCGCCCACATTGTCGGCCTCAACAATATCAAACAAGGTGACCCCCGCACCAAATCAAACCAAAACACAGAAAACTAACCCTACAAAAAAAACAAAAATAACTCCCGCGACTGAAAACTTCGTAGAAAACATTGATACACATTTATTACCAATTAAAAGTTTTTTTGTCAATAATAAGGAATTGCCAATTAATTACCCACAATTCAGAGATATAATCGAAAAGGTACAAATCAATCCAGATCCAGATTTTATATTTGAACAGTACAACATTTCATTAAAAGCCATGATAGATTTAATTGAAAAAGTCAGACCTAAACTTCAATCTAATAGTAGTAAAATACGTTTTACTCGTCTGCACAACGAACTATTCAACAAATATCTAGACAAACAGCTGAAGCCAAACACACAAAACTAAAACAAATGAACCGCTAAATATCAACAGAACACTTAGTTTTATAAGAGACACTAATTTACATAAAACCTTGTAACCAAAAATCTAAATTATTTTTATTCTTTTCCTTTGTTATAATTTACTACATATTTTTAAGTATTTACCTATAATGTATTAATCAGTTTGTTAAAATTAATCGCGGCCAATGACCTATGCAGTCGAGGCCTTGTTCCTTATAATAAAAAAAAAAAAAAAAAAAAAAAAATAATATGTATAATGTATATACACAATATACTATATAGTATGTAACATACATAATATTATATTATTACCTGACATATTGACATTATATTCCTTCAGAAATCGAAAAACGTGTTAAGTGATGTGTATTGCGTAATTATTGAACAATGTTTTATGGAGGAAAAAAAAATCACGATTATTTCGCTCGGATCAGAATATTATTAAAATTTAATGCATTTGATAAAAAAAAATCATCTCACGGGAGTTTACCTCTGAGCTTCGTGCACGTCAAAACTGTCTGGATCTTCTTTCACGGCCGCATCCACTTCTTCGTAATCCACGGCTCTGAGTCTGGACCTGGACCTCCGACCTGAACCACTGGACATCTATTTGCATATAACATATTATTATAATATTATATTATTTAATTGTATATGTATATTGTATATTAATGAGATTATTCTTAAATATTAATAATATTATACTACAGGGTGGGGTAGTGAAACGGGCAATTTCTAAACATATATATTCACCCATTTCATTGTCCCGTCATGTATGTATTATTCAAAGTTCAAAACCGTTCACTTGACATATTCTCAAAAGCATAATTATGGCTAGCGTTAATGGGAAGGAAATAAACATTTTATCATAAATTAAAAATTAAGCAAATATGTAAATTAATTATATTCTATTTATAATGCTTGATAATTAATTTTCAGCTTAATCAATTACAATTTACAAAGTAATATTATTATACAATACATTCAAAAATAATAATATGTAGTCAATAGTGTTATTATCATCAAAATAATAATTATAGATTTACAATAATTCTTAGCTTCATCACAATATAGATATAATTAGTTTAGAACACCATCTATATCTACCTAATATTGTGGTAATGGCGGTGATTGCCTGGATTAATAATAAACGATTTGACAATAATAAATAAAGCTCGGAGGAGAAAATACTTGAAAAGTTCTAGTCGAATCTTACTAGGAATTCTATAGTTATATACAAGATACTACAATATTACTACCATCAATGATAGTATAATAATATATTCAATGATACTACTTCATTAAAATTGTATCAAAAATAACATTGAGTGTATGTGTATATTGTATATAAATATATACTCCATGAAAATAATTATGATTTATTATTTGTTTTGATATTTTATATACCTGTTTTTTTTTCATTTTTGAAAATTTACAATCTATATTCACAAAAACACAATAAGCAAATGAGGTTATATGTACTACAAAACAATATAATAAAATTACAGAATGGCATGATAGCGGCGACCATCCAATGATAGAACCTTTCAGACTTAAATTAAACATAATTTATTGATTTTTTTTATTATTTATCATAAAATATCATGAAACCAGTGCCTATTAAGGCGATGAGGCGGTTGTCAGTAAGTTGAAGTGAGGAAAGTGGGGATATAAGAGGATTTTGGTGTTGCTGTAAAGTTTGTGAAATTTAATGTAATATTGTTTGGTCAGTTGTTCAATTTTATATTCCTAAAATCTAATATCACAACATCAACAAATTATGCAAGGTGAACTCTTGTTCTGGACAGAATCAATATGACAAAATATTAAATTTAAATTTTTTAGCTTACCAAAATTTTTCGTTGCTTGGCACTGGGCGTCCTCAGATCTCTACTGCTGTCGTTGTCGATGCTGCTATCAGACGACTCACTGTCGACATCCTCGGCATCCTTTACGTCAATCTCTTCGTCGTACATTGTATATTTCACAGCAAATATAATGCACTATGACGTGAAGGTGTCACGACTGAGAGTTAATATTACAGATATAAATAAGAATCGACGTTGTCCTCCGTCAAAAAGGCCAAAATATTACAAGCACAGTAAACATTTCATACGAGTGCTTTATATCCGATAACTACTGTTTGGGTTACCGGTGACCGGTGTTGCCGTTGGTAACTGCACTTAGGTACCAGCTGATGTTGTATACCTACGCTGCAGTGGTCGACGATTGATTTTTTTTTTAAACCGCCGCAAGCATCACCAAAGCGCTCTACGATGTATTATATACAATACTTTACAATATAGTACAATATACTGATATAGGCACATTGAATATCAATGTCATATCGACAAGTTATATGTATGCACACATATTATTAAATCAGAGGTGATGGATTGAGCCTTAAGATTTTTTTAACGAAAAGGTAACGTTGTGGGTCTTACAACTACCTACGTCGAGATAATAATATGCAATTTCGCAATAACTTTTGACTACCTAATGAAGCGTCGACATCGTTTTGAATGCAAATCCTATATGTATATAATATTATCTAAATCTGCAGAACCAGGTGAGAACCTAACAATGCAATTTATAAGTTTAAAAATAGTTATTATTTCCAGTAACTGTTTTACATTGAATATTTTTTACACGACGAGCGACAAATGGCTGAAAATAGTCGCAGACTATACTATAATTATTATATTAGATCCGACTCCAACGTTCAATGCGCTGATTGCAAGTCTAAAACGGATTTTCTCCGATATCCTGAAAACTTATGGCAGTCATCTGTACCGCACTGATAAATCCAAAAAACGTATTCTCAAACTACCGTACACATCCGGAAAAAATACGGACGTACAGATTATATTCGGTTTGTAGGGAAATGGGATTAAGGAAATAAAATGTATAATATCCAATGTTTAAAGTGGCGTCGATACGAGAGAAAGTCATAATAACGTTTTTAATATAGTTTTACAGTTAATAACTTACCATGGATTATATAAACTAGTCACTAAACTATAAACTATCAAACAAACCCCAAAATATATAAAATAATTTAAATTGTATACACGTCATGGAAAATTAACTACACCGAAACAGCATCAAATATTGTATAATTTATATTATATTATTCTCTCGTCGGATAATATATGAATTGAATGTGACAAATTGTTATCAATATTACTATAATTAGGTACCAACAAAAAATTCACATTATTAACCTTATATAACGAAATCAAATAGTTATTATAATTTATAACAATAAATTAATATTTTAAAGATTAATTCACAATACGGTTGTATGTTATTAATTGAGTTTGGCGAAACATTTTACAGGAACACAAAACACACGATACACATAGCATATATGTATATTTGGCAGTAAAATGATAATACTGGAGGGGCAAAATAAAAACTTATTATAATTTAATAAAATATTATATTGTACAGTGCTATGCTATTTGTGTTGCATTCTGTTTTATAAAAGGATAATATTAGTTGGTGAAAAACTACAAAAATTCTAAATTACTACTTTCCTCTAAAACTAAAAATATATACGGTAAGTATGGTAATTTTTGTTTATTATTTTAATATTTTATTGTTTATAATTTATAAAAATAATAGTTACATTATTTTATTTTAATAATATAATATAAATTGTTGCATTGATCATTACAATATAGTATTACAATTAGAAGGCATGTTTGGTTGACATTTTACTCCTTTGAAATTTTTAATGTCCAGAAATACAATTTATTACTAAACAACAGAAATGGGGTACTATATTTTTGATAAAACTCATAAAGTCATAACCATTCAACTCATTTCGAATTTAAATATAAGTGTATAATAGCATAATTAAAACAACAAAATAATACAAGAATATTATCCTTGATTATAAATAATAGTATATTAAGTTATAAGTCATAACCAATGGTACTGTGTATAATAAAATGTTTGTATACGTTTCATCATTTTTATTACTTTATATTCGGCTTAAAACGTATGGAATGGCCACAAACACAAAGATAATCGCTGAAATCGGACAAAAAGTCCACGTTAAAAAATTATTATATGAATAGATAAGAGTAATATGTTTTACATTACAACTTAAAAACTAAAAAGTCAAAATCTTCAATGCAAAAATTTCGATGGTTTGAGGGTGTTATTTGATGACAACAAATTATTTCAAAATGTCAATGTTTTGTGGTTACTCGAATAATTGAATACGCGAGGACTAATGTTCTATTAAGTATTTAAGTTACACAGACAGTCGCCTTGTATAATATAATATTGTCATAGTACTTTCATCGACATGATGAATTGCCTATACAATTCTCCTTATAAATGTATATGTTACGGTCAATGACGAAAATGATGATATTTACGTTAAAACCCGGCCAATGTCGAAAATGATCTTGTACAATACAAATTGACGTAAATGACCGGTCATTTACGTAATTGGCGACACATATTGGTTAATGATGTAAACACGGGTATTATTTTATTATTCACGTTAATTCCCAACTTCTTCTGGACGTTGTTGTAAATTATACATTTAAACATTTATAACATACAGGCCACTGTCATCAGTTATCTATCCGGACGCGTTACTACTTTAGTATGTATAGTTATCTAACAAATTATCAAAGGTTTTTTTAATTAACTAGGTAGGTGATTTATTTTATTGGATTTTTCCCCATAACGTATATTTTAACAATTTCAGTATCGTTGCAGACATCGCTTGATTCGCAGTTCACCAGTTCGAAATTTCGCAGTTCACCAGTTCACGTGTTATTGCATTTTAAAATATTTATTCTTTATTTACTTAAAGTATTAAGTATGGATGTAGATACTATGCGTAGTAAATTCGACGATTTATTTGTGAAAATAAATAATTAATAATAAATATAATATATAATTAATAATAAAATAAATTATAATATAAATATTAATAACTGCAGTCTGTAATTAATTAAATTAATGTGTATTTTCAGTCATTTACGTAATTGACTAACAGTCAATTTTTAATAACGTTAATATATTCGGTCATTGTGTTAAAATTGATTTATTTTGTTTTTTAATTTACAACAATAATCTATTATCTTGGAAACTGACGTTATTGCCCGGTAGCTTACGAAAATAACCTAGCAACTTGGCTTCTGACTTTAATGACCGGTTAATAACGTAAATGTTCAGTTTTCGTCATTGACCGTAACATATATACCGGAACCACCAATAATTCATTTATTCTGAGTGCCGTAATTGGTTTAAAATACAATATAAATTCGTTTTTTAATGTTAAAATCGATATGACAAACTCAAAAAAAAAATATATATTTTATTGCTCGCTTAGATTGTATTTACTTTATTTTATTATTTGACAATTTAATAGTAATTAATATTATATAGAATACTCTCTACGGAGTGGAAATGCTACAGATTCCAGGTATGAGATACAATAATATAATATTATATTAAGGGGCCTCGCAATGGCATTGATCATTTAGGCAATTTCTAATCTCGTCGTCGCCACCCGAGCAGGGTGACTTTAACCGTTAATTTTTGGTTCGGTTCCATAATTTGTTTTTGAACTTTATTTGCGATAAACGTTAAATCAAGCTATGTTCAACAAACGGTTAAAGATTTAACGTTATAAATTAAATGGTTCACCGAACATTTTACTAGAAAACGTTAAAATTGTTTATGTTTTTTTGAAAATTTCGCCTAAAAACTGTAAAAAAATTAAAGTTCTTGAATGATGAACCTAATAAACGTTGTTAAATTATTCGTTCTTGTATATTTAATCAAAAGAACGTTTTGAAATAATACGTTCTTGAACATTTAACGAGAAGAACGTTTTGAAATAATACGTTCTTGAACATTTAATCAGAAGAACGTTGTACAGTAATATGTTCTCAAACGCTTTACAGTTGTACGTTCTTCAGTATTTAATCAGAAGAACGTTTAAGAGTAATATGTTCCGATTTGTTGAATTTTTATATGTTAACGTCTGTGAGACGGAGACGCCTATAATTTCATATTACTTAAGCTTTATACCTTTTAAGTACTTTAGTAGGTACCCTTTAATTACGATTTACGATTTACATTGTTTATCCTCTTCAATGTTTTGTAAAAACTAAATATTGTTAAAAATGTTTTAGATTTTTAAATATATTATATATATTTTTTTTTTATTTGAGTTAAGGCTTTGATAACTGTGTTCATTGGCCAGTTACTGTAGTGGAAAGTTATGTTGTTTGAACACGTGTACGCGTGGCTAGGATTTGACACTAAAACTCGTGTGGTCACCCATCCGGGAACTAGTGACACCGGCCAAAAGCCCAGAACATGTTTGTGATTAAAGCCATATCACAGAATAGATTAAATCTATTCTGTGGCCATATACTGGCATACTGCAGCGTTACACCAGGCCACTTTTAAATGTTTGTTTTACGTTCTCTTGACGTTATCATGATCGCTATCATGATAGACATTCGTTTATATATATATTTATATATATCAAACTTTATTGGAATTTCAAAAGTCAAAATATTCGATAGTTTTCGATTATTATTTATTTATCATTATTATTAATTGATGTATTATGTTACTATATTATTACTCATAATAACTTATTACCTATAATCTATATTATTATCATATTATATCATTTTATGTTGTCAAAAATAAATGATCGGAAAAGTAGTCAAAAAATAATTAATAACGTTTTTTTCAAAGTTTGGAAAACGGTTTAGTTTGTGATGTTCTATGTGTAAAAAGTTTGAAGAACATATTAGCTTATTGCGTTCTTCGTGTAATTGTTCAAAGAACTTAATAAGTCATAACGTTTTTTTAGTAATATTGTTCAAAGAACTTTATAGGTTATAACGTTTTTCTAGTAATTGTTCAAAGAACTTAATAGGTTATGATGCTCCTCATGTCAATTATTTAAAAAACTTTAAAAATTATA